AAGCTACCAGGTCTGGGACTCAAACTGTGGTCCACTACATGGGAGTCCAGCAACATAGCCATCACGCCAACTGCTGGTCCCATTTTTCTGCTCTTTAAGAGAATAAACCTGAGGCTGGTTGGGGATCACAGTTTTCTCCATCAGAGAAGTCAGGCCTACACAATCCTCAATTTTCTATACTTATATGTATTTGTGTGGGTTTTTTTTTATGTTTAATTCTAATCCACAGCCTCCCTACTCAGAAAAGTATGTTCTAGCAAGCAGGTCCCAGCACAGGTAGATGCTCACCTAGGCACCCAGGCTCCAGAGCAAATCAGTCACTGTGGAGCAGAAAGCTGGGGACCTGAGCATGGTCCCAGGATCTTCATGCACCTCTTCAAGGGCCCATTTTCCCACCGACCCCTCCTCCTATCCACCTGGGCACAGTCTCAGGAGTTGTGGTGGTGTTCAGAGCAGGGTTACTGAGACACTGAGTATGTACAAGGAAAGACTAGATACCTCTGACTGGCTTGGCTAAGTTGCCCCCTATAACACTCACACAGCAGTGAGGGGTACTTCTAAGCAAGAGGCAATATAGTACAATGGTTAGAGGAGTGAATTCTGGAGCCAGACTACCTAGATTTGAATCTGAATTTCACTGCTTGCTGGCTGTGTGATTTGGGGAAAGTTACTTAAGCTCTCTGTGTCTCAGTTTCTTTATTCTGTATTCTTTATTCCTTAAATGGAATAGCAATCATACCTGAACATAGGATGTGAAATTTAACCAGGCAAGATACCTAACACTATGCCTGGCAGTTACTGCTCAATACATGTAGCCTATTGGTCTCGTTTATAGGTGGTAATAAAACCACATGTTTCTTTTCTTTTTAAAATTTATTTCATTTTATTTGTTTCATCCATGAGAATGAGAGACAGACACCCCCCATCTTAGCCAACCTAAACCCCAGGTACATGCCTGCCCCTGTGTTTACAGGGACCTCCCAGGGGACCCAGCATTGAAAGGAGTTGTGTTCTCACTGCGCCACCAGCTGGCTCCAAGGAACTGCATGTTAATTTTTAAAATAAATGTTATTTTATTATTATTTTTGTATTGCCCGAAGGCATATGTGCTCACCAAAGAGAGAGAGAGAGAATCCCCCCAATGTGGCATGGTCATGCTGCAATCCCTTCTCCTCCATTTCTCTACCCTGTCAGGACATGGGGGCACACATGCCCAGCATGTTTTTCAAGCTGCCAAGGCTGGGACTTGAACCATGGTGAGCCCTGTGGGATCTGGCTCTCTATGTACAGTGCTTAATCACTGTGCTATAGGCTGGCCCACCACATTTTAAAAGAAAACATTTTTTTAAACATCGGAGTTGAAACAGTTGAAATTTTGACCCCATTGGACACTCAGTGAATAATTCATTGTACAAGCTTGTACCATTGGCCCACCAGACCCTATGGATAATGGATGGGGAAGTTCTTTGGCAACTGTGAAGTGTGCTAGTGTAAAGGTGCGAACACTCAGGACCCCCTCCCCAGGACCTTGGGTCCCACTCCACTTCCGACTTAGCAGAATCCTTGGAATGCACTGTGGTGTAGCACTTTCCCTCCACCACCCTGAGCAGAGCATAGCTGTCTTGGTGTCATCCTCCATCACCACCAGTCTTAATAGTCACTGGTAGAATTGGACCCACTGAGGAATTTTATTTCTACCAAGGCCAACACAGGCATGGTATTTAGCTCCAAAGGAAGGACTCTACTCCCATTACAGAACTGCATGACACTCTGGTTTCTGGTCCCGTGGGTTCATCTGCCACTGCCCTCCGAAGTCCCCTTTGAGGGCTTTCCCCTCTGGTACCTCATCCAGTGAGGCCTCCTTCAGAGCCCCAGCCCTAAGCAGATACCTTCCTGTAGGCCCCATCTCTTTCTTCCTGTTTGGCACTTGTTATAGGTCTGTGCTTGGAAACAATGTCTTGATTGATTGACTCACCCAACAATATCCTCCAAGTGCTCTCTCAATCAGGCACAATAGCATTTAAAAAAAAAAAAAGAAAGAAAGAAAGAAAAGAAAAAAAAGCCTCCCAAAGAACTTGGCACAGAGGCTCCAGCATGGGGACAAACACTAGCTTGAATTTCAGGCACCGAGGCCAAAATATAAAGGAGGTGTTCAAGGACTACGGAGTTCTTTATTATTTTTTTAAGTTTATTTATTTAATCCTTCCATTAGCAAGAGGAACAGAGTGAGATAAAGAGACAGCACCCCCAACAGGGTCTTGGCACTGTGATCTGCCCCCAGCTTCAGCCAGCCCTGGACCACGGGTACACATGCACCCAGCATACCTAAGGGGGGCTCTGGGTTGCAGACCATTGCATTTCCCTGCTGTGGCACTGTGCAGCCTCTTGGGGTTCTCTTCTGGCACTGCTGTTATCGGCAGAGCTGCTTTCCAGTTTCTATGGAAGGAGGGGACGAATGGGGTGTGGTGTTTGCGTGTGTGTGTGTGTGTGTGTGTGTATGTGTGCACATATGCGTGTGGCTGGGACTGTGTGCATGTCTATCTAAAATCTTTAAGGATGTGGGGAAAACCCCAGGTCCTGAAAAAGAAGGGAGTAATGTCTACAGGGAGGAACATGCGTGAAGGCAAAGCAGTGTGAAAACTTGAGCTCTGTTTGGGGAGCAGGGTGTGGCTGGATCTTAAGGTGCAGGGTGGTGAGGGATGTGAGGTGAGGCTGGACAAGAGGATGAGACCCAGCTATAGAAATCTCTGACATCATAGCCAAACACTAACCTTCCTCCAAGGTCTGACTTGAGCCTGCCCCCTCCAGGAAGCCTTCTGTGGTTTTCATCTGACTGTCTAGTGCTGTCCCCCTACTTTCCTGTTGGGAACCCGATGCATATGACTGACTCTGACTCTCCACTACAGTGATTGGCTCAGAGATGGGCATGTGATCAAGCTAAGCCAATCAGGTTGGAGTTTGAAATGCAGTGATTTGGTACAGGTTTTGGCCTCTCAACTTAACCATGAGCTTCTCAGGGTAGAGGCGGAGTTTGAGTCTCCTTTTTACCTCTGTGACCCCCTGAGAAGACCCCACTCAACACTCTCGGGAGTGGCATATTAATTACCTAAGGTTGTCCTAATAAATGACCACACTTTGGTGGCTTAGGAAGGAAGATTATTATCTCATAGCCTGGAGGCCGGAAGCTGGAAATCCAGGGGAAGTGGGAGGCTCTGAGGGAGGGCTGACTCCAGGCCGCCCCTGGGCTCCTGATGGTGGCGGGCCGTCTGGGGTCTGCAGGAGCACCATCGGATCTCGCCTCTGCCTGCCCCTCTGTGTGTCTCTGTCTTCTCCATTTCTATCTCTTTTAAGGACATTGTCACTGGATTTATGGCCTTTGCTAAATCTGGAATGATCCCATCTTGAGATCCTCACTTTGTAATATCAGCACAGACCCTGCTTTCAGATAAGGCCACATTCACAAGTGAGAGTGGGCGGGGGTGAGGGTGTCTAGGATTTGGACGTACTCTTTTGGTGTCAGTATTCAGTCCACCCCAGGCAGGGAAATGTAGGCTCTGAGCAAAGGTGGCCTCTGTTCCCAGTGGTCCCACAAGTGAGACATGGGGCTGGAGCAGGGACACGATCGTGGAGTCCAGACTATGGGGCCAGAAAGGCTCTGGGAGACTCAGCTTGGCAGCCTCCAGCCTCTCAGTCCTGCTCACAGGGCCCAGGGTACCTCAGCAGGCCTCTACGCCTGCAGAACCAGGACTGGATGGGCTGGCCTCCCTTCCAGCAAAGTAGCAGCCTCCAGCGTGGCCTGGGCTAGGGGTGAGGACTGGAGACTTTGGGGCACATAAATACAAGCAAATTGCAAGAACCCTGGTCTAGGTTTGCACACAAATGCAAGAGGGACACAGACCTCAGCCGTAACCACCCTGAAGGCTCATTCCCATCCACATGGCATCTAGGACTGGTTCTGCCATTTCCTAGCTGTGTGACCATGGGCAACCCACCGAACTTCTCTGGGCCTCAGGTTCCTTATCTGCAAAGTGGGAGATTCAGGACCATAATCCTGTATCTCAGATCCTTGGGGCCAGATGCATGTCAGAGTTCCCATTTAAAAAAAGGTTTTTTTAGAGAGGCAATAGGGTACAGATATTATACATTTCAGCACCCCCAGTAGCCCTCCTCAAACATGCTAACATTTCTGCAGTGAATCTGTGAATAGTCACATTAACCGGGATACCTAAAAACCATAAGTTTATTCCAGCTCAGGTCACATTGCCTTCAAATGAATTAACTAAAAAAAATTCCTGGGCCAGCCCAGGGCCTGGTGGTTAAGAGCTGGATTCCACATGTCTGATTGAGGTTTGAGTCTCAAGCCTTGAAAGCTTGAAAGACACACCGGGTACATGGTTGCCCAGAATCCTGAAAGGAAGGGGATCAGGTGCCCCATGTCTTGAGAGCAGAATGAAGGAGAAAGGATTGCAATGTTGTCATCCCCCTGCGGGTGCTTTCTCACTTTATCTTTCTCTTTGTCTCTCTCCGGTGAGGATACACACCCTGCCGCATATTTAGAAATTTTCAGAGCATTCTGCAGTTCAGAATTACAGGTAAGAGTTCAAGGCTTCCCAGCTCGTGGAGTTGCTGTAAGCGCCATGTAAGACATTGTGGAGGAGTGTGGTTTTATACCAACCGCTGCCATCTCTCTGAATCCTTTATACACTGGGCATTGGATCACTTGTCTGTGGGTCCTAGTAGCTCCAAGCTACCCACTAGCACCCATTTCACAGCTGGGGAGCTGAGGCCAAGGACAGCCGAGTATCCTGCTCACAGGATGCAGCTCTGAGCATTCTGCTTGACCTCTGAGTCCCTAAAGGACTGTAGCCACCAGCATGTGGACTACCACACAGCTGCAAAAGGGTGAGGCCCCCATTCCTTGCACTGCACAACTGCCAAAGCTGCAGGATGGAAAGTGAAACTCAACTATTCTTTGAGTTTCGTTTCCTGAGAAAGCTGCCTGAGAGTTGCTTTTCCAGCTCTGGCAGGAAGGCGGAGCAATTCCTGCTTGTAATCAGTTGCGGAGCCTTGGACTTACTCCTGGGGGAAAAATTCCCACTCAGCATCTGTCACTCTGTCTCTGTGCAGCCCCGACGCCCTTGAGAGGTGAGGACAGAGACGCGGGGTCCTCCTCTCCCCCAGGACCTGAGGCTGCCCAGGAGAGCATCGTGGAGAGAAGGTAGGCAGAAAGCAGAGGAGGGGGAACTACTTTTTTTGGGGGGGTTGGGAAGAGTTTTTGCTGCAGGGCGTGTGCGCTCACCAGACAGAGAGACGGAGAAACAGAAAGCGAGAAACCACCCCCCAGGGGGGATGGCCACACCGCAATCCCTACTTCTCCATTCTCCTCTCGGGATCTTGGGCACGCACACACACACGCCCAGCATGAGTTTTAAGCCACCGGGTCTGGGACTCGAACCACAGTCAGCCACATGGGAGCCCAGCGACATAGCCATTACACCAACTGCTGGTCCCAACTACTTCTGAAGTCTGAAGGTCAAGGTGCCCAAGTGGTGGGCTCCAGACCCGTAGGTCAGGAAAGAGCTATTGTCAGGATAACTTGGATTCAAACTCCAGCCAGTTACATGGAGAGAGCCCTAGTCTATTCCGTTCCTAATAACAGGAAATCCCTGGAACTAGGGGATGTATAAAAATAGAGGTTTATTCAGCCCATGGTTTGGAAGCTTGAGGTCCAGGGGCCCTCTCCGGGTGTCTTCTGACCACAACACAGCATGGTGGAGGTAGGAGGGCATGGTCTGTGTTTGTGTCTCTGTCTCTCTCCTTCCCTCTTTTTATAAACCCAACCAAACTCAGTCATGGGGACCCTCCCCTAATGACCTTAATCCTGGTTTCTTCCCAAAGACCTTCACCTTTAGACATCACAATCACATTAACTTTTCACCCGTTTAATCCTACTGAGATGGCTCAACAAACGCATTTTTCGGGGACATATTCAAACTCCAGCAGCGAGCTAGGAAAAGGTGTGAGGCTGTACTTCTCATGTGTTAAACCAGTTAGGAATCTTTCCCACCCAGGGCCTTTTGAGGCTTAAATGAAAGCTTGATTAAGAATGTGATAGGGAACCAGCAGTTAGCGTAATGGCTATGTCGCTGGACTCCCACGTAGTCGACCGCAGTTCGCGTCCCGGACCCGGTGGCTTAAAAACTCACGCCAGGTGCGTGTGCATGCGTGCCCAAGATCCCGAGAGGAGAATGGAGGAGAAGGGATTGCAGCGTGACCATCCCCCCTGGGGAGTGATTTCTCGCTTTCTGTCTCTATGTCTCTCTCTGTCTGTCTGGCGAGCGCACGCGCCCTACAGTGAAAACCTCTCCAAAAAAAAAAAAAGAATGTGATATGGGCCAGCCCTATAGCCTAGTGGTTAAGAGAGCTAGATCCCACATGTCCAACTGCAGTTCGAATCCTGACCCTGGCAACTTGAGAAACACAGTACATGTGTGTGTGTGAGTGCGCATGTGCATGACCCAAATCCTGCGAGGAGGGAGAAACGAGTGTGATGTAACTCGGCCCTATCAGTGAGTGCTTCCTCCCTGCCCCTCTCTCTCGCTGACAAGCACACACACCCTCTGGTAATTAAAACCAAAGAGACTATGATATGACTACCCAAGTGCATCCCCTCCTCCATGGCTGAGACCTGAGGCCCTGGAAGGTGGCTTGGCATATTGAATGTGGGAGACTTTGTGGGTCATGGGGCTTTCGTAGGAGTAGGTGAGGGAAGCAGTCACATGCTGGGTGAGTTATCACAGAACCGCAAAGTTAATCCATGATGCTTCCTAGATCGCAGGCTTATCTGGAGCAGTTCGGTAAGGGAGTGGGGGAGTTAGTGATAAAGATTAGAATTGTGAACGGATGGGAAAGTGTTGAGCTGCGTTGTGAAGTCCTTGGTTCTTTGGGTCCAGATCACTAAAATTAGAGATCTGTCCCTAGGCGCAAAATGAAACCGCAACTACGAATGAAGTAGGTAGAAGAAAAGACTTAATAGAAAGCAAGGAAAGGAAAGAAAGAAAGTACATCCAAAAAGGTTGTTGGGCGAGCAGATTGCCAGGTGGCAACTGCGCTTGGTACAGTAAGTTAACCGTTATTTTATTACTAGAGGTCATGAATATTCATTAGTGGGAAGCTCCTTACCCTGTCCATGTCCTTCCTTTAACTCTGAACCCACAGGTTCTTTTCCTGCACCTGCGCGCCTTCCTCAGGTAAAGAATGAGGAACTCCATCACCTAATCGCGCACGCCCAGTGCGAGCCAGGTTGCCCCAATTAGACTGCCCAGCAAGTCCATTGCCCTAATAGGAATTGGGGCATTGACCAAAAAACGCTTGCTTAGGTCTTTTTGATAAGAGAAAAATCTACGAATCATCCCTGTGCGCTTCCCTCAGGCCTCAAGGAAGGAAGATGGCAAATTGCCTCGCCCTCCTGGCGCCCAGAGCTAGAGGAGCCTTTCACTTTTCTCTTAGGGCTGCCCGCTCACGGCTGACTAACTGCCTACCACAGAATGACCTCAAAACTGAGCTTCCAAGCAGGTACACGTCCCTTACTTAGGTTGTGTGTTCATGGGGGCCAGCGTTCAGGGAAAGTGCCCTGGGAGAAGGAAGCGGAGATTAGAAGCTCACGAGGACGGAACGATTGTTGTAAATATCCCCCATGTTGGAAATAGTCTATCCCGCCAGAACTGTCTGCTCACATCTACCGAGAGGTCAGTCTTCTATGTCCGGGGCTGTTGCATTGGCCCCTCACTCAATAGGACCAGCATGGCAAGATGGGGAGGTATCACAGGGTGCTGGAAAGAACGGGGTTCTTGAGCTCAGCACATGGGACATGCAGATCAGGTGGCCACCGCGAGGGCTGGCCTGCATGTGGCATGCTGTTTGGCAGCACCTTGGCCTCTGCCTGCCGGATGAATTTTATTCTTCATTTATAAATTTTCTACAATAAGCCTGTATTTATGAAAGTGATTAGGAAACTAAGGATTAGAAGAATTTGTGTCCCTTCATACTATGCATGGGAGGATTTTTTTAAATATACGTAAGCATAATTTTCTCAGTTGAAATGCAGACATAGTCATTTTTGCTAATCCTTTTTAATGTGCTCAGTTGGCAAAGTCAGTCTCATTGTGCCCTCACATGGCAGAAAGAGAACTAGAGAGTTCTGTGGTTCCTTTTTTTTCTTCTTTTTCTTCATTTATTTATTTTTTATTGGAGAGGTTTTTGCTATACGGCACATGTGCTCGCCAGAAAGACAGAGAGACAGAAAGCAAGAAATCACCCCCCAGGGAGGATGACCACTCCGCAATCCCTCCTCCTCGCTTCTCCTCTCGGGATCTTGTGAATGCACACACATGCACCCGGCGTGAGTTTAAGTCACCAGGTCCAGGACCTGAACCGGGGTCAGCTATGTGGGAGTCCAGCGACATAGCCATTATGCTAACTGCTGGTCCCCTCTTCTTCTTTTCTTTAAAGTTTTTGCCATAGAGTGTTCACCAGAGAGGGACAGAGAGACAGTGAGAGAGAAAATAGAAATCACCACCAGGGGGTATGGCCATGCTGCGTTCTCTTCTCCATTCTCTTCCTGGGCTTTTGGGCATGCGTGCACATGCACCTGGTATGATTTTTAAGCCACCAGGTCCCTGACTCAAAGCAGTCATCCATGTGGGAGTCCAGTGCCTTAGCTACCTTGCCACCTGCCAGCTCACAGGAGGATTTTTTTCTTAAGATGTTTAGAAGTAGGAAGGGGAGAGGATGAAGGAAGGGGAAATGGCCATGAGGGAGAAGGCATGCTTAGGAAACAGAATTTCTGCCATAAACTTTGGAACAAAGCACCAAATAGGAAGAGATAAAGGGGTTTACTGGCTTCCCCGAGACTCTGAAACAAATTGCCACAAACCATGTTGCCTAAAACAACATTTATTCTCTCACAGTTCAGGAGACTCAAAGTCCAGAATTGAGCTGTCAGCAGGTCCACACTACCTGAAGCTCTAGGTAAGATTCCTTTCTTGCCTTTTCCAGCTTCTGGTGGGTTCCAATAGTGCAACTCCAATTTATGCCTCTCTCTCCAGAAAACCATCTTACCTGTGCTTCTGTGTCATCTCCTCTTATAAGAACCATTGGATTTAGGGCCCACCCTAGGCCCAGGATGATTCACCTAGAGATCCTTAACTAATTTTATCTGCAACGACCCTATTTTCAGATAAGGTTCCATTCTGAAAGTTCAGGTTGACTTGAATTTAGGGGCATGCTAGCCAACCCACCTATGGGAAAGCAGTTTCGAAATTGCTTAAAAGTGGGCCAGCAAGTGGCATGGAGGCTAAGGTGCTGAACCCCACATGGCTGACTACACGGTTTGAGTCCCAATCATGCAAGGTACATGAGCCTGCATGCCCAACATCCTGAGAAAAGAATGGAGAAGGGATTGCAGAATGGTCATCCTTAGGGATGATTTCTCACTTTCCCTCTCTTCTGTCTCTCTCTGGTGAGTGTGTGCACCCTACAGCATAAAATAAAATGATAATAATAAAAAAATTGTTTAAGGTATCACACATAAACACATGACAAGAAGAGGTATTGATATGAAAAGCAACAAAGGTATAGAGTGAAAAGCAAACTTCCCCACCCTTGATCTTCCATCGGTGTTACTAGTGGGTTGTCAGAAAAGTCATGACATATCTTTTTCTTTTTAAGAGAGATTTTTTGCTACAGGGCATGAGCACTCACTGGACACAGAGAGACCGAGAGCCAGAAAGTGAGAAATCACCCCCCAGGTAGGATGGCCATGCCGCAATCCCTTCTCCTCCAATCTCCTCTCAGAATTTTGGGCATGTATGCACACATGCCCAGTGTGAGTTTTAAGCGGCTGGATGGGACATTTGAACCATAACTATGTGGGAGTCCAGCAACGTAACCATTCCGACATCTGCTGGCCCGTGTATTTTTTCTATGCAAAAATGCATCATGACTTTTCCTGCAACCCAATAGATTCTTGTCTATGCACATGACACATCTTTATTTCATATACAAATGCAAGCATATTATACAGTATTCTGTATCCTGCCTTTTAACTTACCAATGCGTACAAGAAATTCTTCCTGTATTTGTCAGTGTTCTCCAAAGAAGGAGAGTCAGCAGGATAAATATGTATGTAAAAGAAGGGATTTAATATAGGGATAATCACAAGATAGAAGGGTCCCACAACAGGCTGTCTGCAAGCTAGCGAAACAGATGAATGACTGAAACGGGGGAACTGGTGCAGTACTCATCTAAGGCCTAAAGGGGGCACCCAAGAGAGTCTGAAGCAAGGAAGCTGGTGCAGTTCCAATCAAAAGGCTAGAGTCTCCTTGGGAGGCTGCAAACTCAAGCACCTTGGGTGTTGCTTTATGAGTCTAGAATTCAAAGGTTAAAGAATTTGGAGTGTGGCTGACTTGAGGGATGCAAGGGCTGGGAACTGGAAACAAACACAGCCGAGAGCTGAGTGGAAGAGCAGGGGTGGAGCAGGCGAAAAGTAAAGGAGTGAAACACACAGCACCCTCCAGAAGGGTTAGAGAGGGAGAAACGGGTAGGGGAAACAGAAGCTCACTTCTCTCTGTCGCTCCCATTCTCCCAGCTGGCTGGATGGTACTCACCTGCATTGACAGCTCCCTGACCCACATGCCAATCTTACCTGGCAGCACTCTCTCAAACACACTTAGAAACAGAGTTTCACCAGCCTTCCAGGCATCCTTCCATTCAGTCAAACTGACACCCCAAATTAACTATTATCTTTCCACATCTGTTCATATTGATTTGCCTCATTTGGTTTAATGGCTGCATACCAGTCATGCGTTGCTCAACAATGGGGATACAATGAAAAATGTGTTGCAATTTTTTCATTGTGTGAATGTCATGATACTTTCTTGGGTCAGACAGAAATAAAATTTTACCCAGTTAGCCAAAAACAGCTAATAGATGACTATGTGACTAGAGACTTGCCAATGGTGCCTACAAAAGGAGGGGGCACGTTTTTAATCGCAAGCCAACCGAATAATTTCTGTGTCACTTCTGCATTTTCCCAATAGGTACTTGCCTCTGACGTTTTGTCACTGAAACACAAAACTATTTTGGTCTTATGTTCTCCGATCTATAAACTGCTTCTTTCTCAACATTTTACTGTGCCTCAAATTTCTCTTTTAACAGTTTGATATCACAAAGAGGATTCAAAAGAGACCCCCAGTGGCCCCTGTGAACATGGAGGGAACAGACAGAAGGATCTCACTGCGGCCTTCATGCTCGCTGCCTCTGGCAATATCAGGTAAGTCCCTTTTAGATTTTGAACTCTGCTCTTTGTGTCCTGAGGTCTCTGGGTTTATTTTTGACTGGACCCAGAGGTCAAGCTGGGCGTTTGACAGGAACTGGGTTAAGTCCATTCCGGCACTCTGGCTCCAGACTATTGGGATCCAGAAATTGAGTTGGGTGTCCAACAGAAACTGAGCAAAGTCCAGCTGGAGGCCTCAAGTAAAATTTTAGAAGAATAGGGCCAGCAAGCAGATGGTATAGCAGTTACATCGCTGGACTCCCACATGCTGACTGTGGTTCAAGTCCCAAACCTGGTAGCTTGAAAATCACACTGGGTATATGTGCATGCATGCCTAAGATCCTGGGATGAGAATGGAGGAGAAGACATGGCAGCGTGGCCATCCCCCTGGGGAGTGATTTCTCACTTTCCCTCTCATGGTCTCTGTCTCTCTGTCTCTCCTGGGTGAGCGCACACGCCCTAAAGCAAAAATCTCTTTAAAAAAGTTTTTTTAGAAGAGCAGGGTATATGGCCTTGTCAAAATGTAAGGAGTCTGGCGAGCGTATGCGCCCTATAGCGAAAACCTCTCAAAACAAAACAAAACAAAAAATGAACTGGCAAATGAAAAATCTTAGAAGTCTTTTCCACAAATGTTACTAAAAGCCTTTAGCTATCTAAACTTTAAACTGCCAGAGACATAATTCAGATCCAACTAGTGAGTTTTATATGTGTACCTGGAACGTGGCTGCCATTTCAGAACAGAGGCCATGGATCTCTGGGTATGTCTGCATGTACTTGTATGTCTGTATATGGGTATTATTTACATGTAACAGTACTCTACCTCTGAATGTTATTATTAGAGATAATTTGAAAGGGATTCTGTTTGGGGCCAGCAACTGGCATGGAGGTTAAGGTGCTGAATCTCACATAGCTGACTCCATGGTTCTAGTCCTGGACTCAGTGGCTTGAAAACCATGCTAGGTGCATGTACATGCATGCCCCAAATCCTGAGAGGAGAATGGAAGAGAAGGGATTGTGGTCTGGCTATCCCACCTGGGGGGATAATTTCTCATTTTTCTGCTCTCTTTCTCTCCAGCAAGTGCATGCACACTATGGCAAAAAAAAAAAAAAAAAAAAAAAGTATTTTAAATCTCTATTCCATAGGTCCAGAGAAAAATAAGTGCTGATTAAATTACTTTCTTTGAAAAGTAATTCTCAAATAATTTTCAAGGTCATATGTCTTGAATAATCTTTTTTTAAAGAATTATTTTTATCGACCCTTATTTATTTTATTTATTTACTTTAATTGACCAGAGAAGACAGGAGAGGAGAGAGAGAGAGAGAGAGAAAGTGAGAAAGCAAGCTGCCAGGTCTGGGACTCGAATCGCAATTAGCCATGTGGGAGTCCAACACCTTTAACCACCACATCACCTGCTGGCCCTTGAATAATCTTTAATAGTAAGAATATGTGATTTTGTAAAAATTAATATTCTAGCTTTAGTAGTCAAATAAACACATATTATCCCTGTTACTTAATTTGTCAACAAGAAAAATAACCAAAGGTAACAGGTATGTTTAATGTTATTATATATTTGCTTAAAGACAGTTTCCAAAATTTCTTTGATAACTTAAAACCTTAAAACTATACAAAGTTAAATGATCTTCATTAAATACCTGAATCATGTCCAAATAAAATTAACTACTAAAATTCTTGGGGCCAGCAGGCGGTGTAGTGGTTAAGGTGCTGGACACTCCCACATGGCTGACCATGGTTTGAGTCCCAGACCTGGTAGCTTGCTTTCTCACTTTCCCTCTCTCTGTGTGTGTGTCTCTGTCTGGTCAAATTAAAATAAATTAATGAATAAATAAAATTAAATACATAATTTTTAAAAAATATTCTTGAGGGGCTGGCAGGTGGCATGGTGGTTAAAGGCGCTGGACTCCCACATAGTCAACCGTGGTTCAAGTCCTGGACCTGGTGACTTGCTTTCTCATTTTCCCTTTCTCTCTCTTTCTCTCTCTCTCTTTCAATCTGTCCCTCTCTAGTCAAATTAAAATAAATAAAGTTAACTAATAAAAAAAATTCTTGAACATAAAGTTTAGTGTATTTAATTTTTGGCATCTTACTAAAGAGAAATTGGAGATATTTGGGTCTACTTGTAAGCATGTCCAGTGCTATGAGGAAATGTGCTATTTAAAAATAAAATCAGGGGCCGGCAGAGAGGGTGGCGGCTAAGTCACTAGACTCCCACATGGCTGACCATAGTTCAAGTCCTGGACCTGCAACTTGAAAAAATGTGGGTTGCATATGCATTCATGCCTAAAATCACAGGAGAATGGAGGAGAAGGGATTGTGGTGTAGCCATCTCCCCAGGGGGTGATTTCTCACTTTCCCTCTCACTGACTCTCTCCCACAAGTGCATGTGCGCTATGGCAAAAACTTTTTAAAGTATATATATGTGTGTGTGTATATATGTGTATATATATGTATATATATATATGTATGTATATATAATCTTGTGTGAAAGGTCCTCAAAAAATTCACAGAAAATGCATATTGTGAAAAGATTATGTGAACTACCATTTGACGTAGTGATACCACTCTTGGGTATTCTCAAGACAAAACCATTCTGTCAGAGAGATATTTGCACAGCCATGTTTACTGCAACATTATTCAAAAAAGCTAAGACATGGAATCAGCGAAAGTGGGCAAATCCTAATGACTCTGTGAAGAAAATGTGGCACATACACACAATAGAATACTACTCAATCATAAAGAACAGTGAGCTTCTGTCATTTGACACAAAGTGGATGAACCTAGAAGAGTTAATGCTAAGTGAATTTAGCAGACTATGAAAGACAGACACTGTGTGTCCCCAATTGACATATACTGAATGTCTGTACTCTATGGCAGAAACTGAAAGATTCAAAGGCATAGAAATAGTGAGGGCAAGTGTAGACACCAGAAAATGCATGGGGGTAGAGGATGATAAGAGGAGAAGCTTAGGAAAAAACAAATATCAGACATAAGAGTGCATGTAAATGAGGCAAATAGGTTATGGAATGGTGTACCACAGAGTAAAACAAAGTGTGACAGATCAGCAGGTGATGTGGTGGTTAAGGTGTTGGATTCCACAAGGCTGAGTCTCCAGTTCGAGCCCCAGACCAACACCTTGAAAAAACACTGGGTGCATGTACATGCATGCCCAAAATTCCAAGAAGAGAATGAAGGAAAACTGTGAGACTGACCCCATGATGCAGGGGCTGGCCCTGCTGTCACTCAGGAGTGACAGGTTGTTAATATGCAGAGGGGATAGGTAATATTTCTTGCTTCTCATGATGCATGTTTCTGTATGTTAATGACTTGCTGGGTAGCTAGCTATTAAGGTATAAATGTGTACAGGGTCTTTTTGTAAAAAAGAAAGGAAAAAAGAAAGAAAGAAAAGAAAAAAGATTAAGACAAAAATTGAACAGTCACATAAAGTTGTGGGGCTGGCCCCATGACACAGTATAGCTAAGGAAGCTGGATCCCACGTAACTGAGAGCAGTCAGAATCTCATTTCTAGAGGCTTAAAGAACATGCCAGGTATGTGCGCATGCGTACTCCAAATCATGATAGGATAGAAGAATGGAGAAGGTATTGTGACCTGACCACATCCCATGGCAGGTGCTTTCTCTGTTTCGTTCTCTGTTTCTGGTGAGCACATACACCCTTTGGCATAAAATAAATAAATGAGAAGTTGTAGAAGGTCTGCAAAAGAGGAATTTATGTGTGCTCGAACTACTCAATTAGATATATTTTATGTCGTTTTTAAATTTTTTTTTTTATTTTATTATCATCATAATCTTCTTTCTATTACAGTAGATTACATATAACTTTACATTGACTTCCATTGCTTTTTTCAAAAGGGAATGCCATGCATGTCAGTCAATACAGAGATATCAATCTCCCCTCTTTATCATTCAATATCTTTTCCATTCTTTTCCCAATAATTATTATTATAATTTTTTTAGACAGTCAATCACTATTTCTCGTTTTGCTTATTAAAAAGACTTCACCCATCATGAAATATTTCCCAGACCAGTTCAGTTGAGAATACTATACATGTCATCATCAACAGGTAATAAACCATATCTATTTCTCATTAACATCCTGCCTCTCTATTGTTCACTGCTGTCTTTATCCTCTTCTCTCTCCTTTTTTTTTTTTTTATACTTTGTTTTTTATTATAAATTTTTTTTTCTCATCACAACACACATATGAATTTTCCATCCAAAATACACTGTGCATTGGCTCAATCAAGCACATCAACATATATGTTCTCAGCAAATGATTTCCCAATTTTTGTGTCCTGCATACCTTGCCTTTTGTTTTGCCATCCTAGGTTCCCCATCCCCACCCTCTGCCATGTCCCATCTTCCTCCTCCATTGTCCCTGACATTCATGATTGCCCTCAATGGCTTCCGCCCCCCCCCCCATTCAATTGTTCTACCAATGAACTCAATTAGTCTAAGTATATCCACTAGCTAGCACAGCTGACATATCCTTACACATGTATCCAAATCTGATCCTAGGCATAAACCCCAGGGAGTAGAATGAACATATTATAAAGTAGACCCCAGTTGTGTCCATACAACTCTCTTCAGTCATCAAATGTGCATTTTTTTTTCCTCCTGCTTATTACTTTTTTTATATTAAATTATATTGCCTAACACTCATTCCCTGAGTATCATCACAACACACCAAGTGTAGTTTCCCATCTAGGATAAACTGCATAGTGTCTCAATCAAGCATGTCGTCACCAATACTGTTCCATTTCTACTTTCATACATATAAATATGTTTTTTATCCTATGTTTGACCCTCAGCCCTTTCCCCCTCTCCCAATTACTCTATCTCTGCTATAGACAGCTATCCTCCAGAGGGGTCATTGAAAATGCGATACCTGCGAGTAGAGGGAGAGGGGTCACGAGTCCAAAGTTTTTAACAATAGGGAAAATAGATTCCATTCAAGGTTG